GCAATAGATAAAAGAAAAACATACAAGAAAAACATATCCCTTATCGAGATGAAACCTCATAAATATGAGGGACTAGTTAACCAAAGAAGAGTTAAGTATATATTTTTGAAATAGCTTTTAAAGGAAAAAAAATGTTAACGTCTAGGCTTCATTTTTTTCTGCCTTTAAAAGCACACACAACCCACAATTCCTCTATTCGCTCCGACGAAGGGCTAACGCTTGAAACGTCAGCTTTTGTAATCGTTACGGTGGCCAATTTACCATTTCAACTTTGTTGATATATCCCACAAATGCAATCTATTTCATTTTTTTTATGGTGGTTAATCTTCGATGGGTAGTTTATGTTCTCCGATGAGTTTTCACTCGTCAGACATGGAAAGAAACGTTAGTTTTGGCTGTCAAATGGCTTATCTTTGGGAAATATCTCTAAAGGGCAATTTCTTTTTTTTGGACTTTCCTTCAGTGATGTTCATCAAGATGAAAGCCTCTTAAAATTTCCTTTCTATCCCTTTTCACTCAGCCAAACAATTCCATTGATATAAAGAAACAGATTAGCGTCTTCCTCTTACGGAAACGCTTGCTGGCAAAGTTCTCTCCCGGAGACATAAACATTTCGAAGTCATGATCAATCTATGACACCGCACCTGTCTGACTAATTAATAAACGATGCTTCGGTATTACTAGAATAAAATAAAAGAGAAACTCGCTGAAAAATCTCATTTTATTTTGCTTAACTGATAACTTTTTTTCACGCCCGGCCTCAGTCTTAGGTCAGCACATATATATATATTTAACTTTTGACATGGACAATGTCTCTGTACGATACTCCTTTATGTTAAAATTATTTACGAAACAGATAAGAAGGATTCTAAGTTTATGCATGTAACTTTCGCTAAATATCAACCTTACATTTACAATTGTAAAGCTTGCAAGAAGCCTTGAGCTTTGATTCACCAAAAGGTTATTAAGGTGAAAATAGCTATAAAATATATATTTTCATCTGTAAAAAGCTAAATTTTCTCGTCTCTCTCACCTCAGATACAAACGGCTTAGAGCAAGATTGGCTTCCTTTTGACGAAGTATTTAAGCAGCATTACTTTTGGAAAGAAGACTTCCATTTTTTGAACGTCACTCCAGTTGTAGTATTCACAAAGTACGAGCTTTTAGAGTGCATATTTGAATGTGTTCGTTGTTAAGCGATAACAGGTTCAAGTTGCTGCAGTACATACAACTTAAAAGCGACTTCACTGCGGCACTAAAAGCGCATACCAAACTAAACTTCTTTCCGTGCCTTAGCCTTCTGTCATGTCTGCTGATTTCAAGCGCCATTTTATTTTCTTTCTCTTGCCTTCTATTTTCACCGCAGCTAGCTGTTCTTCAGGTAAACATTTTATCATATGCTTTATTTCATTCGAGGTTTTCTCACATTTTTTCCTTTGTTCTATCATTACACCAAGATCTCCTCCGCCGTAGATGAGGCGGGCCTTTTATACAAGCAGAAAAGAAATTCAAAAGTGCGCAAAACGTTTTTCCATGAGTTTTTCCCATATGCAGTTTTTCCAAAAATTTCTCCAAGCGACAAGGTATCTTGTATATGCAGCCCATTTTTTCCCAACAATACCGGTTGGATGTAAAGTAAATTTCAGTCTGTTTCTGCAGTCTTACACTAGTCACATTGGAAAGAGTATTTATTGGTCGTATTTCCACGCACTTTCATGGAGCACCTGCTTTAAACCATACTTTGTTTGAACTTCCTGCTTAAATGTTATCCATTTCCATTCTCGTCCTTTTTTATTTTTTTTTTCGTGCCTTTCAAGTTTTCATTTTTTCTTAAAATAAGGTTTGATATCTCACCATAATTCTTATATTCCATCCTTTTTGGCTAAGAAAAAAATATCTATGACCTTGATCACTATGAAGATTTATAAATATGCGCGCTTAAAGTAAAAAAAGGGAATTTAAAACATAACTATTTGCAATCACGTTTATTTTAAGGCAGCGTTATTTATAAGAGGGCATAAATGGGTGATGGCTCTTGATTGTGATGTTTAAATGTTTGGCTATTTAGCAGCTATCAGTTCATTTCTTTCCGTTGGAATTAGAAGAAAAATATTTAACGTTAATGTTTTCTNNAGGCAGAGCAAACAAAGGCCTCGTAACTTATTGTTCTATTGTTTCTGATATGCGCGTATTTTAAGTTGCCTGTTTCAAGCGTTATATTTCTAAAATTCAATTGCGTTCGATTTTTACCAAAAGCTAGAACACTTTCATCTCTCGTTACAACTTAATCAACAAACATTTCGCTTCATATCAAGCCTACGACAGTTTGATAAACAGCGGGCGTTTCTATTTTTTTTCGCTTAGGATTCGATCTTCTCATCGAAAAATTACTTATATCATAAATGATTTATTGTAGTCTCCTTGCTCTTCATCGCCATGTCAAAACGGAGGAACCTGCATCCCGAAATACAAATACCATTCTTATTACTGTCTCTGCGAACAAGGTTTCATTGGGGAATATTGCGAGAAAGGTAATTGATATATCAATATTTCTCCATCTATATTCAAGTAAATTGTCGCTTAAATGTTTATCGTTGTGGGAGGTGCGCGGAGAGCTTTTGTTTTACGTTCCTGTTTTTATCTCTCTTATTTCTTGTACTTCTGCCGCGTGTGTTTTTTATGATTACAACGTTTGCAAGAAAGCAAACAAGGAATAAGCCCGTCGCAACGATTTAAAGAGCTCGTACATATATCCTAACAGAGTCGACAAGAATAAAATTGTTTTCGGCCGGGAAGCGGAAACTTTAATATAACAGCAATTCTACAAAATTGCAATTAATTTAATTTCACTATGAATGTATTCGAATTGAATTGAAAGGAAAGTTACAATCCCTCTAATCAAAAGTATTTTTCAACTAATCGTTTTTACAAATATTCAAAGCCTTAACCCGCTAGATTTCTGAAAGCACAAAAGATTTAAAAGCGCTCTGGTTAGTATTAAATAGGTTTGCTTTTTCAGTTTTACCCCATTCACACCAGCAAAACATGATTAGTCAAAACGGGTTTACCTAAATAAAAATCAGAGCACTGAGAAACCGAGTTTTCCGTGAGTTTAAAGCGGTTAGTAATTTGTAATTTCTATGTGCTTCATTTGAAGTCGATAAAAAACGGTTTGGGAAACTTTTATAAAGAAATTAATTCAAATCGTATGCAATAACATAGCTTGAAAATAAACATGTTTACGCCACAGTGATGTCAATGGAGTATTAGACTCTGAAAGTAGAAGAAAAAAGATGAAGGGATAACTAATGGATAAATAAATTGATTAACCAACAAGATTTCCTTTTTTCTCTTAGTAATGTCACAACTGACTTCTACAATCGAGTTTGCAACTCTCTTCAATCCCTACATATACTAGGGCCTGGCACCTTTTCTTTTTTCATACTTTCATACCATTTTTCCGGGGATCAATATGAGCCTTCCTCTTTCACCCCCTACTATGGCATAGTTTATTTCCTTTTTTTTTTTAACGTAACTATGCAGCGTCAACAGAGTCAACATATATTTCAGCTCTGGGATATTTTCATAAGTTACATGGGCATGATGGCCCTAACAAAAGTTTTATTTTTTCTCAGATGTTTGAAAGGTTATTAAAAAATTGATAGGCGCTTGGATAGTAGATTACTTGTTACTTTACCGCTTCTTCATAGGTTAGTTATGTCATCCGCTAATTTGTCCGTCTCTAGGTATAACATTGCTCTTTTTCAGGCTATGTACCTATTTGCCTTCCATACGTTTTCCAGAATCGGTGAAATTACTCATTCTCCTTCGAACCACAATATTCAATTTGACCAGTTATCCCAGGTTGTAGACTCAAACGATGAAGTTGCCAGTTTTAAGCTCGGCTGACTTTCCATGACTATAGGCATTCATATGATCAACGCCCCTTTACCCTAAATATTCTGCCGAGCAATGTGCGTGTGCTGCCCTGTGCAATTTTTACGGTCATATCTTAAGTTAAGGGGTAGTTCACCCGGTCCACTATTTAGGATAGCTTATTTTTCCCCGATTTCTCGTTCAATTTTTACATCTACCCTTTCCTCTGTTTTACGATTTTGTTCTCTCGATCCTACAAGGTCCAAAGGACATAGTTTCCGCATCGGTGCTGCTTCGCATACTGCAGACAAGCTAGGGTTTATCTGACGCTCAGATCAGAATCTTACGCCGTTGGAAATCCAATGCCTTTCGCAAATATATTCGAATTTAGTGCGTGCAATAGTGTTGATTTCACTTGCAGGGGAAGTGATCTCATACTATTTCTTTGCACGGTTTTACTAAGGTTATCTAGCAAGGGCATTAACCTAAGTAAACGCTCTTATTAAACATCTATACTCGTTTGTTTTTAAGTATTTCCAGAAAAGTACCTGATTAGCAGGGGCAGCAGATTGCTTTTGGGTGGTTTTTCATCAAAAATAGTTTTTATCGTTATCTTTAATTACTTTCAAGTCCATTATTCCAATTTTAACGAATATCATCTGAATAGCAAGGGCGGCAGATTGATTTTCGGTATTGCTACAAAACATATCCTTACATTACTATTTCCGTATATCAGCAGCTCGCAAGGGCGGCAGTGTGTTTTTAAGATTATGCATGGTTTATGTTGTCGATTTTCCTTTGGGTGGGACCAGTGTACATTTCATGTACACCTTTGGCGTTTCCTTGCCCTCACCTTTACTTGGGAAAGTTAATTGTTAACCTGATTTGAAATGAAAAATTATGATTGCATCAAGTCAATTTATATTTTGTTATTAAAAGGCTATGGTCAGTGCCCATTGCCATTTACCCCAACCTTTAAATTGCGTTTTATTGCCCAGTAAACAAGCTACAGGACAATCGACATTATTTTAGTTGTTTTGACAAGAGGAAACATAAAAAAGATAAATGGATAACTAATGGATAAATAAATTGATTAACCAACAAGATTTCCTTTTTTCTCTTAGACGTAAAGTCTTGCAAGGAACTGTATGACTTCTACAGGTTAGAAGAAAGAAGCTGTAAAATCCGCTGATTTTTATACCAAGACTGCACTGATTTGCTACATCAAAACAATCAATTCATTCTTTTTGATAGATCTGATGTCAGTCAACTGGTTACCCTCCGTTTGGGCTCCAAACCAGTCTCTATGCTCTGTCAGATGGGGGATTTTGGATGTGGAAATGGAGGATGGACGCCGGTCATGAAGATTGACGGCAACAAGGTGCATTTTTTCATATTCTGGTTTGTTAATTTATATTATTGTTAAAGCTGATGTATGACCCAGCCGCAAATCTTTTAGACTCGTGTTACAAAGCATACTGTCTACGGAACTATCACTAATTCAGATAGCCCAAGGCTCAAAAAAGTTAAAGGGTTTAATTTCCGTTGATTTTAGGAAACGACGCTGCTGACTTTGGGATAACTACAGGTTGAGATGATAATCCTAAGGTCGGAAACAAAAATACCAAGAACATTCATTTTCATGACCATAAATCATAAAAAAAAAACTAAATAAACACGATGTTAATGATGATAATGACCACGGGTCAACAAACAATTATCTATTTAATATGTGAAACAAGTGTGGGATTACTTGAATTTATCTTTCTGATGAATATAACAGAAGTCATGAAGGATGGGTTTCAATTTTTTTCAGACCACTCTTAATTATAATGCACATTACTGGAGTGATTATAAGGAATACAACCTTCTCGGAGGAGAGACAGGGTTTGACAGACAGGAAACAAAGCTTCCCACCTACTGGAACACATCCTTCTCCAAGATCTGTCTCGGTATGAAGATTGGACATCAGCTCAGGTTCATTGTCATCAGCCAGCGCGCAGACTCTCTGTATTCACTTATCGCTGATGGGCAATACCGCAACACCTCAGTGGGTCGTAGCAAGTGGAAAGAATTGATTGGTTCACAGGCCTCTTTACAGTACAGATGCAACAAGCAAGGGTTTAATGCCGTTTGTACTAGGAAAAAAAGTTCTAAAGCCAGAATTGGTATTGTTAGCAACAACCAGGATGACTGCTACTCGTGCAACTCAATGATTGGATTTGGCACAGGAGGAAAACATGATGGTTTGAGTGCATGTGGCAATGAGGCTGTCTCGAGTCCAGACAACAGAAACAAATCCATTAAGGCTATGGGATACATCTTGGTACAGTGATACTAAATTTCGCAAGAAATACAATATTTGAACTTCGTGTCGTGCAATTTGATCTAAAATAAAAAATAAACAAGTGTGCTGCGCGAGTTTGATTTGAAATCACAAGTATGATTTCAGACCAAAATTACGCGACAAGAGGTTGAATTATCACATATTTAAATTCCATTTCGAAATCGCACAATGATATACAGATTCGGTCAAGCCACAAAGCGAAGATCGAGTTAGCTCAGTAATTTTACTGCCTATTGCCTTGTTGGAACTATTCACAGGTTGATGTTAGGTTTATTTACGACAATATAAGGACCAGGGGAGGAGGGGGGTGGGGAGAAAAATATAGTGTTAGGGTTTTGTTGTCTTTGTTAGAGGTTCAACTCCCACTTTGTCGCTAAATAACAAAGAAAATGTTGCCCACGCTAGTCTCAATGTACCATGGATTTGAGAATGAGAATGACAAGAAGACCTTGTTTGAAAGTGACAGCAAAAGGAGCAGAGAGAATAGTGATGGCTGAGTGTTTGTTATTGTGAGTAGTTTATGAGACAATGCGAAGTTGAAAAAAAAGAAAAGAAAAAGAAAAAGAAAAAACAAAGAGCTGAAGTTGACTTTCAAGTGACAAAATCTCTTCCTTGAAAATGCATCAAAAGGCATTACGTCTCAATTAAATGTTCAAAACTCTCGAGGAAGGAAGCTTCATTCGTTTCATGGGTTAATGTTCCATTTTTCAGTAGCTTGAAGCAAGGAGTTTTAAAGTAGCACTTGAACAAAACAGATAGGTAGAGAGTCTCGAGAGTATGGAACAACGTGTACAATTTGATGTATAGTTTATGTAGAATCAAGCAATTTCAAAGGTCATCGACTCAAAACGTTCCTCAAAGCGTTGCTTGAAAGGTTATAATTTGCATCCTTGAGTAAATGGGCTTTTAGCTTCTTGTTTTTTCCTTAATTTTTTTGTTTTTAATTTTTCTCCAATTTTAAGGGGATATCTTGGACATAAACATTTGAAGAAAGTACTGTAGGGAATGTTGGGAAAGGTTATTGATATGACGGTATTCAGTCTAGACTGTCGTTAAAACGTTTTTTCGTAGGGGTGGGGGTGGAGGGCCTCGTTTCACGTTTCTGTTTTTATCTCTCTTTTTCCGTATTTGGTATCCTTTATGTCTTTTAGATTACATACCTCTGCAAGAGTGCAAATGAAAGGAATAAGTTATATTTATTATTTACAGTTATTCACCGAAGCAGAGGTGAATAGGGACGGTATGCTTACAGACACGAGGGGGAGAATAGTCATCTCACATGGGCCACCAGAATAAAGAAAATCATTCATTTCAGTCTTTGCACTAAATTATGGTCGGAATTTGAACCACTGAGGCGCGATTTCGTGTCTTCAGCTGCTCGAAGGCAAGTAGTACTTGTAAATCACTTCTATGCCGTACTGTCGAACTTTTTAATAATAATCGTCGAACTTTGTGGTACTTGACAAATTAGCAAAATTGGTTGTATAGTGCTCAGGAAGTTGAAACCAGCAAAGTTTCATTTATCCAGATGTTTTACGCGTGTTACTAGAGTAAAAATTGAACTACATTGACTTTGTTCATCTAATGAACTATATTGACTTTGTTCAACTATTGAACTACATTGAGAGTGATAAATGAGATACAATGAAAATGTATGAAGTTCATATATTTTGTACTGCGCTATTAGATACATATGATGCATCATATCTACATTGACTTTGTTCATCTAATGAACTTTGTTTAAAACTGAATCATTGGATAATGTAATTCAAGACTTTTTATAGGCTAAGCCATTATGGTATATGAGCCAATATACCATAATCTAATATCCGTACATTGTAACATCCAGTTTCTTCCTACAAAATAAAGTGGAGAAGATTTGTCTAATATCTTGGGGGCGTTTTACTAAATAAAACAATTATTCCACTCGCGCTTGTTGGATATGAGCCCAGTTAGTGAGTGATAATGGGCCTCAGTTCACATCAGAAGAGTTCCAGCAATTCCTTAAGAGAAACGGCATCAAACACATCACCTCAGCACCTTATCACCCTGCCACCAACGGCCTAGCAGAACGTGCTGTCCAGAGTTTCAAGAATGCCATGAAGAGTGAAACTGAAGTGACATCTTTGAACATTAAGTTGGCGAGATTTTTGCTAACTTATAGAATCACCCCCCACTCAACCACCGGAGAGCCACCGTCCCAGTTGTTTTTGGGAAGAAGATTACGCACTCGACTGGACTTGTTAAAACCAGATCTCTTCATCCAGGTAAACAACCGTCAGATAGACCAGTCTGTTGCCAAGAGTGGTTCTGTAACAAGGCATTTTGCCATTGGTCAGAGGGTGATAGCACGAAATTACACTGGAAAGTCAAAGTGGGTACCCGGTATTGTACGTGCACGATTGGGACCCCTGTCTTATGAAGTGGAGATTGGGCCTAACCTAGTTTGGCGTCGACACACGGATCAACTCCGAGATTCCAATGTTCCTGTTACAGACAGACACCCGCCAGTTTCATACCCCTTGCCTTTTCCACTCCCAGCCACGACCACTGATCACCCAGTAGCTGAACTACCTGAACAGACAGAAGTTGTCTCGAGGGAGACAGACTGCCCGTCACCCAAATGCAATCCAGTGGCTGAATCGTCCGCTAGCAGCTCACCGAGCCAGATTGAACATGTTCCTGTAAAACGATACCCTTCCAGAGTGCGGAAACCCCCAGTTCGGATGGATCTTTGAACATTGAACTGCCTTTTTATGGGGTTAGGTTGAGACTGGATTTTTACTGATAGCATGTTGTGTTGAACTTTTGGAAAACTTTTAAATTCACGGATAGCATGTTGTGTTGAATATTGGGAACTTTGAAATTCTTAAAGACTTTAGGGGACAAGAGACTGGCTTACAGGGGAGGTGTTGTAGTATATGTGGTTGGTTCTTGTAAGCATGCGCACGTGTGCGCATTATTCATTAGATTTGCTTTTCGAAATAAAACCGAATACATGACAGAACTTAAACAATATCTTCATATCTAGGCCAAATGCTATATACCATGCAACCTTTATAATCTGCATCCAATGACAATGTCATTTCTTATTAAATAGAGGCTGACTGGTTTTTTTTGTCAGTAATGCCCTTCAATAATTGTACAAGCAGGTGTTTTGTTTTCTTAGAAATGTTTTTGATTCCTCGTTTCTTTAATTCTTCCTTAAGCTGAGGCAATCTCATTTTTGAAAAGTCAATTGAGCTCAAAGGCCCATTAGATTGAGTTTGAGATGCAACAGCACTTTGGCCAACATGCAGATCAGATTGAGATGGAGTAGTAACTTCTGGGGGTGAATTGTTTTTCTTTTTTGGAATATGTCCTCCTCCCAGTACTCTGTTTTGTGTTTCTGATAGCATCTGGGCTCCCGTTCCCTTTTTCGTAGATGCCATTGGCGTGACTCTTGACAGAGAACATCGCCAACTGAGTCCCACTTGTTTGATTTCCTCATAGCTCCCTCTACTAACTATGATTTCCTCAAAACAATGGACCTTGAAACATCATTGTTTTTTTCTACTCCTTGCCCTGTGAATAGTTTGACTGCTTTATACATTTGAAAAAACCATGGGATGTGGGAAACCATTATATGCATGTATGGGGTAACTCTTTTTCGTTGATAACCTTCCCTCAATCCTGCAAGAGAGATGAAATCATTCACCCATTGTTTTGCTTTCAACCAAAACTCTGTGGGTCTGGTATTTGGTTCCCAGTTACTGAGACTTTTGTACAGGGCTGCGAAGGTCACCCATATTTTTTTGATCTTTTCAGCAGTTTCAGGCCTCAAGAAATCAGTCATTTTCTCTGGAAGGTGATACAGCAGTGCTTTCTTATCGTTTCCAATGAGACTTGTCCAGTCGTGAACAGAACTTTATTTGCCATCTGCATTCTTTATTTTCCAAACATTGAAAGATACTCCACAAGACCTTGTGCTGTTAATCAACTCATTTAGGTGTGTCTGTTTGTTGCTGGTGTTTAGAATAGTCTCCTCAATATCCCAAACAATAACTTCTGTTATTAAATTGCAAGTTAACACATCAGTTATTCTTAAAAGGAGGTGAAGTTCATCAACAATAACATGCTCCAACTCAATGTGCAGAAAGGGTTCCTCACAATACAGCAGCCGTAATTATCCTTTGATTTTTTTCACATTTCTATCATTTCCTGTAAAGACCTTGATAGTGGCTTTCAATTGAAATCAGTGAAATTTTCACCTGTTTTCCAACTGTCATCCTTGTGGATCTTACACCATGCACATGTGTAGTTAGCTGTTGCTCCATTTAAACCTAACATGATAAGAATGAATTTGTAGTCACCACCAAGGAAAATTCTGTTTCTATTTCAGTATGACCAACAGTAACCTTAGCTTCCGTAATCATACAGTTGATTTCACTAAAAATGCTTCCAAAGGACTCTTTGAGAGAGTTATAGTCTTCTTTCCATTAAGGATTGCAAGAGTTCTGTTTCCTTTGGCTGTCATAACTTGATCGCCTGTATGTAAAATTGAAAAGGACAACAACACAAAGCTGCAATTCCGGGTCATCCGTGCCCCATCACCATTTATTTTGATTTGGATTTTTTCAGCTTCTGGGTTTTCTCCTAGGTACTCTTCTACATGACATGTTCCTTGATAAGTTCCTTAACAGCACTAACTTTTGCCCCAGGTGCTTTTCCTGGTAGACCGTCTATGAGGCATAACTTATTTAAATTGGCTCTGCATTGCTGAGTCTGATATGACCTCGGAAGCCCACCTGTGACCATAGTAAGTTCATGGAAAAAAGAATCACCCACACAAAACTTGTCCAAGAGGAAGAGAATTTCTTCGACTTGCTTTTTTCTTCCTCAGAGAGGGAATTGTACTTTAGGGTGGTTTCTTGCTCATTTGGTCCTGCCAAATCACAAGGCAAAATTTGCTTAATGGATAAGGTGTGTTTTTCACCTGAGTCACTCTCCTTCACCAAAATGCTTTCAATGTCTAATCCAAAATATTTGCTGAACCAAAGAGCAGTTTCAGGCCTAATGAGAAAATGTTTTAGTGTTCTTGCTTTGTTTTGACTGGAAGAAACTGGCTTCCCTTTGTATTCAGCATTAATAGATAATTTTTCCAGATAAACCAAATAGTCTTCCAATTGCTTATTTGTGTTTTGTAGGTGACTAATAACTCTATCCTTCTCCTCAATAGTCTGAGTCATTTCTTTGAATAACTCCTCTCTTTCCTGTTCAATATTCTTGTGTTTAGTTCTCCATCGATTGATTTCGCTCTCTTTTGTAATTATTTTCCTGCGAAGATCCTGAGAGGATTTTACCTGGCCCTCGAAAATGTGGAACTTCTTGAACTTGTCATTTAAGGCCTCTCTTGCTCTACCTTTTGTTGTCCTGTAGAGATTTGCCACTGAACCAGCTCTTTTGGCCAATGTTTGGTTCATCTCATGTCTCTTGGTGGTGTCCTCAGTGAAGAACAATGCATGGTCCCTGATTGCTCCTTCTAACAAAGCATAGTTAGTAGAGGGACTGTGTGCACGGTCACGCATGGATGAGGGTACGTTCATGTTCATCCAGCAAACAATAGGAGCGCTCTTTGAAGTTCGCCGCGCTTCCTAACCAGCTCCCTCTGCTAACTATGAACAGAGCAAGATAATCTGACACAAGCTGTGGGCCGGGCGAACCTTGTGAGGTTTTTTGAAAGGTGTCCTCAGTGATTATTTTGTGCCATTCCCTTAGCAATGGATAGGGTATTTCCAGGGCGAATACTGGTTTCGTCTCCAACACTTTAGCCGCATATGTAAGTTCCGGGTCTGCCAAACCTGCGAGCCAGCGAGCTATGCGAGCCAGCGAGCCACGGTGCGAGCCATGCGAACCACGGTGCGAGCCATGCGAGCCACGGTGCGAGCCATGCGAGCCACGGTGCGAGCCATGCGAGCCATTTTGGCGAGTATTTTTTTTTCGTTTGATTGGTCCAAGGTCTGGGAAGTCGTCGATCATTTCGCGCCCGACTATCACTAAACTATTATCGTTATAAACCGCCCGCCCGCCCGCCATCTTGAAAGCGGAGATGATCCTGGGGACGAGTGTAAACGGTACAACCTCCCTCGCGGGGTACTCTCTCTTTCCCTGGGAAATTGATTTTAAAATAGGTTGCAAAAGTGCTTAAATTTGAAATATACCCAGAAAAAATCCTTTTAACTATTCGAATCGCTCAGGATCCGCAAAAATTAAAAATATTGCGACAAAAATTAATTAAGGTTCAAGACTTAGTAAAAAGTCTTCGGAGGAAAACGTACGGCTCCAACCCCTTACGTTACTCGAATGGGTTGTTGAGTGGTAATCCATTGACTCCTGTCATTCATTGATATCCACGTGGAAAATCATTCAAGA